GGTCATCAAGACTATTATTATTGACATTAAGATTACACAACTGTTCAATAATTAAAAATTCAAAATCTGCCAGAGCATGAGGCTCTTTGTTAAAATGAATAGCAACTTCACAAGTGCGTTTTTTGGTTATCATAGAAGACTTGTGGTTGCGCAAACGAATTTTAAATTCGTTACTTGTGGAACCAACATATTGCACATTGCATTTCTTGCACGTAACCAAGAAGATGACATTTTTAGATTTACAATTTAGAATCTGCGTTATAGGATACGTCCTGCTAGTACTAGTGCTAGTAAAGCAATTAGATTCCTTTAAATAATTGCGACATAGATCACATTTGGCTGTGCATTTAAAGCAACCCCGCTGATTATCGGGCGTGCGAAGTTGCTCACGAGGCTTACTGCTCAAGATTTCTTTGATGTTTTTAGTTCTACGAAAAGCAGGAATGATGGACCCTACCGGAAATATTTTTCCAAGAGATGGTCAATCATAAATAAGGTGCTTGTATTTCCTAATAATTTTACCAATGCTGGGTAAGCGGGGGTTGAAATCAACCACAAGTGGAAAAATTTGTTTCGACTCCTTAGGCTGGGGTTGAAGCAATGTTTGTCTAGGAATAGACTGGGCTTTCTCAAACTGTTGTGACACCAAATTCAGGTTATAACCCCGGTTATATAGATAACCCTTATACTCAGAAGAGCGTTTACTAAATGCCTCATCAGTAGAACAATTACTTTGGATCCTGGTAGCTAGTCCATAGGGAATGGCTCTGGTAACATGTGCAGGGTGTACGCTATTCCGTAGCAAGTAAATATGGTTATCCGTTGGTTTGGCGAGAGATAAGTATAAGTATCTCTCCCACCTGCTTTTAATGTAAATTTGTTTTTGACTATAATCGCCACATTTTTTTAATCACTTTTTTTGTTTTGTTTTGCTTTTGTTTTTGTTTTTGTTTTTTATTTTTGTTTTCTTTTTGTTTCAAGTACTAGTATTTTACTGTTTTTGTTTTTTTTTGGTGATATATATATTTCTTTTTTTCTATGTATACCCAACTTGTGGTGGTTCGCAGACATAAGGGAGAGCGAATTTGAATTAATAATCATTCAATTGTGAGTGAAAGCCTCACAAATCTAAACCTTTTTCGCTGTCAAATTATGTAAAAGAACATAGCATCGTTTTCCTTTTTACCATCTGGTAGATAAAACAATATAGCACCATAACATGCAAAAGAATCGGAGACAAATAGATACATATGTTCTGTAGGCTTTTAGAAAGTCTTTACATAATTAATCACCTTAAGCTAACTGCGTGGATACTTAGGTTATGTGTTTATAGTTCCCCAATAGTGTGTGGACCATGGCCACACGCCCCCTTGAAACAATTTCTAAGAATTCATCATTCACTATATATTGATGGATTGCTTTGCGAACCAATCGGTGCTACTTGGTTGCTTGTTTGCAGGGCAACGCAACAGTTTAGGAGGCTCTTAAGACCCCGGCGGTAACTTCCACTAAGAATTAAACAAATGCAAGGGTTAATGGCACAATTTGCACTAGCTAGGATCCGAGCAATAACAAAATAATGTATGGTGCCACAAGGCACTTTCCCTAGCAAGGTAAGAATAGTGAACGGCATCCAACATACTGTAAAACTTAGGACGATAGCGATCGCCAGTTTTAACACATTTCGTTCTCTTTTCTGTCGGCGTTGCTGCGCAGCGCTGACCGACTGCTCGCCTAGGGTTGTCTGCGACTTAACCTTTAAAACGATGATAAAGTAAAGTACAGCCATTAAAACCAAAGGCATACAAAAGAATATAACAAACATTGCTGAACCGTAATTTACAAAGGATGAGGAATCTCCGAAGGCTTCATTCCACCTTCGCGCGCAGATCAACGTTCCAGAAT